CTCCTCTCCGCAGGTCTCCCTCAACAACTACCTGGCCCTGAAGGAGTTTTTCCACCTCTTCCCAGAGTACAGCAAGAACCAGTTCTTCATCACGGGAGAGAGCTACGGCGGGATCTACGTGCCCACGCTGGCTGAGAGAGTGATGGAGGACAGCAGCATTAACCTGCAGGTGGCTGATGGGCAGAGACCCCCCTGGGCCTCTGTGTCCACAGGCAGCTCCCTGTCTGTTTTCCTGGCTGAGTTTTAATCATCACAGATTTCCAACTTCTTTATGGCTCAGAAGCTCAGTGGGTGGGCTGGTTTTCCATCATGGGGGTCACTTATTTATATAGCGCCTTACAAGGGAGGAGGGGCTTTTTTTCTGTTGAGTCCCAAAGCTGCCAGAAAAGAATCAAACACTGCCAGAAGAGACTCATATAATTCAGCTGTGATGCTCTACTTAAGGAGGGTTAAAGTTGTGATTGTTTGAACCTGGATATTATACACACTGTTAATGTTCTTTGTACTTTTCAGTTTTATTTATGTCGTTATTACTCTGAAATTTTGAGCTGCCAGTTTTGTTTATACCCAACTTCCTATGGACCGCCAGCCCGAGAGAACTCTCAGGAAACCCCTGTGTGCTCCTGCCCATGGGCGTGTCCACCCACTGGGGGCGTGCTCTCTCAAAATATAGGGGTGTGTCATCCCACTCGTGGCTTGTCCTCTCAAAACCCTGGGGATGTGTCCTCCCAATGGGGGCATGTCCTCTCAGAACTCGGGGGGGGGGGGATGTCCTTTCAAAACTCTGGGGGCATGTCCACCCATTGGGGTGTGTGTGTGTGTCCTCTCAAATCCCAGGGGGCGTCTTCTCTCAAATATCGGGGCGTGTCCACCCACCAGGGGCGTGTCCTCTCAACCAGGAGGCGTGTCCACCCAGTGGGGGTGTGTCCTCTCGATTTTGGAGGCGTGTCCAGCCACTGGGGGCGTGTCCTCTCAACTTTGGAGGCGTGTCCAGCCACTGGGGGCGTGTCCTCTCAAAACTCAGGGGGGCGGATGGACAAAGACCTAGGTATTGGGAACAGTCCCTCAGGCAGCGTTAAGACGCGGAGAGAAAAGGGAGATTCTAACCAGTGGTCTTGTCTTTCCCAGGGAATTGCCGTTGGAAACGGGATGTCCAGTTACGAGATGAATGACAACTCCTTGGTCTATTTTGCCTACTACCACGGGCTTCTGGGAACAAAGTGAGACTCTGATGTTTTTCTAAATGTCGCCGTCCCACAGGTGGAAGCAAGGCTCAGTGTGTCCTTAACTAGAACTAATGGCGTAGCTCCCAGCTGGCCTCACAGGCGCAGATGTCATGGGAGTGTTAGCGCTGCGTTTATTCTCACAGCTTCCTTCCCATGAAGAGTTAAGGTTGCAGGTGTTCACTGCTGACCAGCATGGTGGTGCAGTTGTCAGCATTGCTGCCTCGCAGTGCTGGGGCCCCGGGTTCGATTCCAGACCGGGGGTGCCGTCTGTGTGGAGTTTGTATGGTGTTCCCTTCGGGAGCTCCAGTTTCCTCCCGCAGTCCAAAGAAATGCTGGGAGGGTTTAGGGGGCTTGTGGGAAAACTGACGGGAGTCTGTACCTATGTGTGTCCTGCAACGGACTGGTGTCCCATCCAGGGTGTACCCTGCCTTGCTGGGATAAGCCCCAGCTCCCCTGGGACTCTGTACTGGATACAGAGGTCATGAGGATGGATGAATACTGTTTGAACACTGTTTAAAACGTTTGT